AGCTGACAAAAATCAACTCGTGTGAAAACTAGGTTTAGGGTATCTAGCAAACTATTGTTCTCACTCAATAAAACTATTCAAATTCCCATAAAAACATCTCCAGAATACTACTGGAACCAGTTCCGTTTCGAATGTTTGTGTCGTTAGGTAAGCAATTCGCAACTTATCCAGCACAAAATAATTGACGGGTTCTACATGATCCGCATTCGTCACTCAACATTGACAAGCAATTCACATATCGGATTGCTACCAATGATCGACATACGAGTACCAACAAGATTTTTAATCCACTTAATATTTACATCCGTGGTACAGAAGGTTTAATCTACCTACGTACTCACACTTAAACAGAAATTAAAATTAAAATTACAGAATAACTATCTTTTTTCGAAGATGTTACTTTGCTGTCTATGTTATCATATGTATTTGAAAAGTAATAAATAAACCAACTCAATGGCCCTAAATGTATACTGCACAAAAAAGACATCATATTTCTACAGAAAAACTAATGACTCAATAGGAATTAGTTTCAAAGTTTAGTGTTGACATCAATGGCCACTAGTTTGAAATGAATCCAACTGGTTGGTTCCAAACTAAATATTATGTAAAATAGGGTAATGTATAAATCTTAGATTCCACAGGTAACCAATATAAAAACAGCATGAGAATGCAGATGATAACAAAGTGGAATATACACAGGAAACTGGTTAATCAGAGGTCATAAAGAAATATAAATCATTATATGTGAAAATTATATTTGAAATATTCTCAGCGATTGAAATTTAACTAATTCCAACGTTTCGTCCAGCTGTGTTTAACACAGTATAATCCTGATTGTTAAAAGCTATATATTTCTTCGATAATTTTGATTTTGATTATTACCCTGAAGAAGTCCAGACAAGTTAGCTGGACGAAACGTTGGAATTAGTTAAATTTCAATCGCTGAGAATATTTCAAATATAATTTTCACATATAATGACTTCTCTATACTCGGCGCTCAATTACTGTCAAACTATTCGTTCTAATCTTGACGAATATTCGTATGAAATATAAATCAGTTAATTAACAGTCAGGGCATAGGAAATCCTTTACTGAATTTAACTCGATTTAAGATTAAAATGAGCTGGATTTCTGAAACTAATTTGAAAACAGGTTACCAACTGGTTTTTTAAATTAAAACTGGTATTGAGAAATTGTGTTAGTCGTAATTCAAGTAATTCGATTCAAGTAATGTAGGCCGAGGTTCATAGATGTTCGGTAGTTGCGAAGAAAACATCAAATCAAAGTTGCAAATTAAGCCAATTAAAATAATTCACTGAAAAGCGTGTAAGAGTATTGATAAAATCTGGAAAAAATCGAAACCAGTTTCCCAGACGTTCTCAATTTAAAATTCATTCATTCTGGTACTTACAGTAAATATGTGTACGTTTTTCTGGTGGACTAACATTTTAAGTGAATGATTATAGCTACTGAGAGGTTAATTAGTAACAAAGGAATTTTCGCAAAATAATTATGAAGTCAATTTTAGGAATTTACATTTTGAAGATATGAAGTTAGCTAATTTTCTGTTTTATTTTATATCATTTCTGAAGTAAATTTCATTACCAAAGGCTTTGACGAAACGCTTTGGTCGTCCTCCACATATTTTAATAAGACTGATTTGACATAACAGTACATTTGAAGTTCTATCAAAACAGTCGTAAACAAATTTCAGGACCTGAATGTTAAGTTCATGTTTTTTTAACACTCATTATTGAGAATTATCTATTTGATGTAATCTGGTTACTTTATTACCATAACACTTTATAATGAAAACTAGAAAGGTAAATAAAGTCGTATTTTTTCATAAGTCATGAGATATTCCGGTCTTAGACTGTCTCATATAATTAGTACTAGTCCTAGTGATTAAGAGAATCACTGGTCTTACAAAACCACTGAATAATCCAAGGGTATGAAATATATACAAGCATTTTAAAAAATGCCTACGAAAAATATTTAATGTCTGTTAACCGGATACCACCAGTAACACACTACTGTGAGAGAGAACAAACCAGCTTCCAGTTGATGAGAAAATTAAAAACGGTATTTAGAGGTGGATAGGGCATACATCGTGGATATCATCAGACCGCATCACAAGACATGCACTAACTTGGAATCGTGAATGGAAATGGAAACGTGGAAGTGCAAAGAGCACACTGAGACGAGAACTGTAAGTAGATATGAAAAGTATGAATAGCAACTGGAGGCAGGTGGAAAGGATTGTTCAGGACATTTTGTTAAGAATGCTGGTGTGTGGCCTATGTTACTGAATGAAGGGTATCAGGCGTAACTAAGTATGAAATATACACCAAAATTTCCAGCTCTGATAAGCTGAATACATACTGTTTGATCACTACCAAAAGTAAAAAGCTGTAGGATAATATCTTTATGTACCAAGTAAGGTTACTTTGAAGAGTTTCTTTTAAAACTAGTCAACTAATAGAGTTTTTTTCTATTTCTAAATTAACAGTTTTCAGGTATTTCCGTTTTTAGTAGCAACTTATTGGAATTTACTGTGTACTACTACTTTCTTGAAATAGTATCAGACTTCACTTGCTACTCCAGAACATAATCTCAATTAAAATATGAATTCAGTTTATCACGAAATTTGTTAGATAGACTACTTGAAGGATGTTAAATTTTAACAAGCCAAGGTCTCCACTCGTACTTTGTTTGTCTCGATCATCCTATTATAAAGCCTGCTACTTCACTAGTCAGTAGGCAGTTTTATATCCTTCCTGTTCTTTTCTGTTGTATAAGCTGATCAGGCATTATAAGGATACATCGTCTGTTAAATCAGACCACAGATCATACCACAAGATTTCAGATAAAACGTTAGTTTTTAGTGTAGAATCCTAGAGGAACGCTGATAGATATCCTCTAGAAAGGTATCTGAAGAGGTTTCTTAGGATGAAATATTCAATAATCCCATTCTCTCCGGTGAAATATATAGGAAAGATAAGAAATTCAGCCTTATAGTCAGCATTTGATATCATTCATATGCGTCAATCGAACCTTTAAAAAGATCTCACTTTAGACTGTTACACTGCGAAAGTACCGATCAAATACAATTTGAAATCAGAATTTTATGAGGAATATAAGTTTCTTTTTCCTTACAGTCAAACGATAAATTACAGAGTCAGAATTTTTTGATTATCACTGTTAACAATTTCATTAATCTATAAATTTCTTTAAAAAAATTTCCCTTTTAATACACAATTGCATAAATCGTATAGTGAATTCGTTCAAAAGAACTCTCCGATTAAACTATTTCTTGCATAAATCTAAGGCACGCGATCTTTTTATTTGTGACACGTCGTTTGGATGCACCCACATCTCAGAGTTGGTATTCACTCCAAGATTCATACTTAGTACCTTTTACCTCAAACACTTTACATGATATCAAGTTAGGTACTGAGTTCAGATACCCACTCTCTTGAGCAACAAACATGAGGTTGTATTTTATTTTTGATGATATTAGATTATTCTGATATTGATAGTTTCGACTGAGTTTAAATCCCAGAGTGGATATCAACTCTAAGATATAGATACATCCGGTTGGACGAAACTTGCATACTTTATCTCACCGCTGACTACAATCCATACTTTCTAAAAAACTTGTGACATGATGACTATATTGAAGCAATCCTCATAGGATCCTTATATACCAACCAAGTATATTTCGTTTACGTGTTTAACATTGAATGGAAATTTCATCAAGTTGTTGGCTAAGGACTATGAATAATTGAAGTTAAATTAACAGTTTTAAACAAAACTGACCTCTGGAATAAAGTACTAGATAAAATAATTGCTACAAGTGAAACACCAACTACATTTTATTACATCAATAAAAAGTATGATGAATTATTTATCATGTGACAAATTTCAATAATAATAAGAAACGATCAGCCATCTTTAGTATTATTGTATAATAGAAATGATAGACATTAGTATGGATCTTTCTAATTCATCTGTACAATTTCAACACACGAAATTCTCTAATTTATTGAAATCATTTCTGCTGTATGGAAGGAGTGAATAATAAACCCCATGGAAGTAATAATGAGTTACTGATCGACTGATAAACACTATGCTGTCATGTAATATCGTAATAAACTTCTGTCACTCTCTCTCTCTTATATTCATACATTGTATATGTATTTCATTTATAAAAGAAAAAGACAATCGAAAAACTAAAAGTCGACAAAATAAAATGAATTCATTTCATTCCACAATGCTTGTAGCTTCGCCACATAAAATATGGATATTCAAACTAATGTTTATTTGATTGTTAATTGGCGTCATTATATTATTTTCAATGAAGTTTTGCATTCTATTGTACTTTAATTAGTGACATTTCCAAATAAAATGAGAAAATTCATGTGTCCGTTATTGAGGATCCTACTGTACCGATTAATATCCGTTGGATAAGCTAATGGGTATCTGAACTCAGTAGTTCGGCGGATAATAGGTTGGTGTTTTTTTGGCTGAATGGTAATGGGTTCAAATCTGAATGTAACCATTAATAGCCATTCTCCAACTTTAATCATAATGCTTAATGTTATGAGTTAACTTCATATTATCAAAATTTCAAATTATCAGAAATAGGAAAATAATAAGTAAATAAACAATAAATAAAAAAACAATGAAAGCCAAGGTTTATTTTTATTCTTTTTATACTTTCTAATCTAGGAGTACAATCAGTTATCGTACTTTATTTCATAAAAATCTGGTAGATAGAACGGAGTCATGCATTTTTAGATGATTTAAATGAAATCAAACGATTGGTGAATAAATAGTATCCGTATTAACTTGTATTTCTGTTAAATAGTATTATCATCTACTCATTATATAGTTTGTATTATTTGAAAGAGTAAGAATGATGTGATGTCATTTGTGTAGAAGTTAAGCTCAACTATTCTCTATTCTTCATCTACTGATATGTTATAAAAAGATTAAAAATGTTATCAATGTATTTAAAACTTCGTATTGTTACAACTATTGAAGGATTTATTGGGACTATATTAAATTTATTAACATTATTTATTGTATTTAAAACACAATTTGGTTCAAAATCTACAACTTTAATGTTAAGATTACAGACAATATTTGATTGTACTGCATGCTTTTTATACGCAATGTATTCAGCAACAGAAAATGAAAATTTACTAAATAATAAAAATCCAACTGATATTTCATTTATCAATGAATTATTATGTTATTTATGGTCATATAATATTGCATTTTGGTCTGGTGTTATATTAAGTGTTCAGAATATTGTATGTATTTCAATTGATCGATTCATAGCAGTTCTATTCCCAATTATTTATAAAACACATCAATTATTATTAATTATAATATTTATTACTTATCAATTAGGCATGATAGGATTATTATTTACACCAATAATATTTTTTAGACGTTTCGATAATGATACATGTATTTATGTACCTGGACCAAATGGTATTGATTCATCAACATACATTGCTTTTCGTGGATATACATGGTTATCATTTCAGTATATAATTCCAGTATTGATTATTACAATTAGTCATCTTTCAATTATAATAAAATTAAAAATGAGACAATATCAATCTAAAACTCTTAGACCGATTGAAGTTTCATTACGGAATAAAGGATGTGAATTGAATGAACAAAAAAAGTTGATTAAATTAGTCCTTATAACAGCAATAATGTCTGGTCAACAAGCTACATTACATTTATATGAATCTATACGTTATTTTTTGACTATGTTAAATATTGTAATTTTTGGTTATGGTACTATTGGACAACAAATGGGTCCATTTTTAATAGTATTAAGTAGTTGTATTAATCCATGTATCATTATTGGAACAACAGTATCAGTACGTAGACGGTTTTCACATTATCTGCATGAAATTTGGATAAAAATTAGACGGGGTTAATGCGTTTAACATAATTCTCATAACATTTACATTATTTTAGACAATGTGATTCAAAAGAAGGAAATTCAAGTGTTGAATGGTTATATCAACTAAGTGATTCAATTCAAGTGCAACATCACGTGCATCTTAATCTAGATGTGAAAAATAATGATAAAAAGGTTCATTTTATCATTAAATATAATTTCAGCTGTTTATTTATCTAATTTATTCTTGGAATTCCAAAGGGTTAATATTCAATTAGTTTTGAAACATTTGTGACATACCCTAAAGAATATTTTATGAATCAAATTTCTATTACGTTAATTAATCATGTTTTTAATTTACTGAGCTGGTGTAAATTAGTTACTACATAAAGTTAATAAGGTAAGACTATAATTTATGGACGAACCAATCACGTATAAGATAACAGGTCTCGAATTTTGGGGCGAAATTCATTCATTCATTTTGATAAATAGAGTTTTGGCATTATAGCTGATGTCAGTTCGTGATGAAAACCCTAAATCTTATTTATAACCCTAACCGTCAACTATAAATCATAATTATAATTCCTCATACAGATTTATAACCCTCATTTGGTGCTGGTCATTAAGTCGACACTCTCAATGTCAGTCTAGCGTCTCTCAAAGGTCGTCTATAAATTGTAGACTCATCATTAATAATTGTAATACGTGATGTAGCTTGAATGTACCAGTCTACATATATATTACATTTGTGGAATATGTTGACCCACAAGAAAGTGGTTAACTGTAGTAGAATGATAAGTTCTTATCAGTTAAGTATACTTCTAAAATCATTTCTCTAAAAATCGTTGACACACCACATTAATTAATAAAGCGAAAATTTTCCTTTAGAAATTAAATCAATGTTCATCAACTATATAATTTTGTAATACTACTTCTAAAAGGCTGACTTCAGTTTAATTTGAAATAAACATCTCAGTTAGGATCACACATTGAAATAATCATCTAAAATTTGTTCTTTGATTCTATTTTAACACGAAATTAAGAGTTTTCGTGCACTTGTAGATTCAGACAGATATTCATCAATGTGATACCTGATCACTAATAAAAAGGCCTGACTGATTGATCAGTATAAAAAACGCAATTCTACGGATGGTAGCCACGTCCTTTGAATAGCTCAGGGATATAATATCTAACTAATGGTTACTTACTTACCCCTGTTACTCCTCGTGAAGGAGCATAGGCCGCTCACCAGCATTCTCCATCCAACCCAGTCCTGGGCAGTCCTATCCAGCTCCTTCCAGTTGTTATTCATCATTTTCATATCTGCTTCTATTTCCCAACGTAATGTGTTCTTTGGCCTTCCTCTTTTCCGCTTCCCTTCAGGATTTCAAGTTGGGGCTTGCCTCGTGATGCAGTTTGATCAGCAGCGTAATGTATGACCTTTCCATCAACTCCATCGTCTTTTCCTAATTTCCTCTTCACCTGGAATCTGGTTTGTTCTCTCCCATAGTAGGCTGTTGCTGATAGTATCCGGGCAATGGATGTTGAGTATCTTGCGTAGACAACCATTTATAAATACTTGTGCCTTCTCGATGATGGTTGTTGTAGTTCTCGAAGTTTAAGCTCCGTACAGTAGAACTGATTGCCTTGACGTTCGTATTGAAGATTGTGACTTTGATATTGGTTGAAAGTTGTTTTGAGTTCCATATGTTCTTCAATTGTAGGAATGCGGCCCTTGCTTTCACAATCCTCGCCTTTACGTCTGCACCTGATCCTCTTTGTTCATCGATGATGCTTCCCACGTATGTGAAGGATTCCACATCTAACCAGTTATGATCAGTATGCACTAAATCGGCCAATATTGAGCTGTTCACTGTCTTCCCTACATCTTTGCTCAGGCATACTGGGGGGGGGCATTCCTTAACACGTAATTGTAAATTCCTAGAACTTCAACCAATATAAATTGGACCACAAGAGAAATCAAGTTGATAAAAACATATTTAAAAGGCTAATGTATGAAGAATATTCTTTTTGATAAATTCTCTTCAGGCTCTACAATAATATATCCAAATTAAGCAGAAAAAATACCTGGACAGGACAGTACACATAGTTTCTTAGCTTTGTACATATACAGTACAAAAGAAACCTAATCAAAACACTTAGTTACCGAATGCACACTATATGTCCTACGGGCTAAACGCCTCGCGTAATCCTCTTATGGATAACGGATTCCCTGGGAAGTTTATAAGCAAATATACGATCACGAAGTTTAGAATAGGCGAAACACAAAAAATGAATAAGAAATCTCTGCTCATAAGCATACAGCCCAGAGGGTATGCGGCTAGCAAAATATTAACTCAGGGATTACTCAGAACAATCCGAAAATCACTCAACAACGCGCCCATTGTTGACACCGAGGATAAAATATGAGTTGCTTAGAATGACTTCGTCATTTAGTATTTATCAGTTCGAAGCTCTGGGAATTTACATTTTCGTGCTCGCGACCATTTCTCTACGTAACTAGACAAAAGTCTAGTGAAAAAAGTGAATAGCTCGATATTAGCCCATTTAGTCATAGTGCCAGTATAAACCAATCCTTTCCAGTTATTTATCGGGTCAGTTATTTTTTCGCCAAACTTTGTCAAAGTCCTTCAAACAGCTGAAGCAGTAGCTATCCGTATTAAGAAACCTGAGCTATGTGTACACAAGGAATATCTTCAACAGGGTTCTCCTCACCTGGTCAACCTCAAGGCCAATGAATCAATCGTAATCTTAGCTATTAAATGACCTAATTTGACTATTGTACTTATAACCTTTCGTAGTCATATATAACTGTACCTGTTATCTTTATTCACATATCTTTGTATTATTACTATTATTATTGTTATTACAACAACATTAATATTAGTCTCCCTAATGTATAATTCGTTTACTTCGCATTCATCCCACTTTATTATGTCTTATCAATTTTTTAGACATTATCGTCTTCCACTAAACATTTCACTAAATTTGTAAATGTATCATTATTTCTCTCATCCAATCTGACTCACATTTATTCGGATCATGAATCTTAAATTTTCACTTAACATATAAGCTGGTTCAAGTTGACATTCCATATGAATCATATCAACATTAACAACTTTATTTTGTCAGAATGGAGTTTTGTGGATATCGTGGTAACTCTTAATAGTTGAATTCATGAGTCGATTAAAGCTAGACCACTATGGAAAAACATGGAAGCACTAGTTTAACAATCCCAAATTCACCTGCTATAACGTTAAACGATTCATTTTGCCCTAAACATGACCATTTTTCGGATTATTAATTTGGATTTATAATTGTAGAACCTGAAGAGAATTTATCGAAAAGCATGTTCTTCTTTCATATATTAGTCTTTTAATATGATGGGGATCTTTAAATAATTGAAATACATACTTCTAGAGAAAATCGTTAAGATCAAATTACTGATATTTTATCTCAGTTAACTCGATCTCAAAAGTGTTGCAATATGTTAGTTAGGCTATTTAGGCTGTATATAACTGATAAGCTCATTGTACATGATTGAATGAAGTAATTGGTGTAAATGAGAATGGTAAATGTAGCCTCATCTTTTTTCCATTCAATATTAATATTTGGAAAAATGAAATAAACCTATTGTATCAGTGAAGAAGAAATAAAGACAGTTAGGAGAAGAAAATTTTCTTGTCAATGATGACACTTTCTTTAGTTGTAAAATTGTATTTACAGTTAATCTTTTTTTCATTCATGCAATACTCCTCAATGTTGTTATCGATTAAAACATGCACAATTAACTGTTCATACGATTGTGCAACTTAAGAAAATGACATCATCTAAGTGGAATTCTTTTTGTTGAATTATCAGTATTTCATCACATTATTACATTTTTATGAGATACCTTTTTTCAGAAGCTGTTCTAAAATTTTGGTTCAATATAAGTACATTGAAACAACTTAAAAATTATACCCTTGATAACATAAATTTTTGATGTTAAAATTTTGTTTTAATAATCTGTTATAACTTGTATCCTGTGTGCTCTGTTAATGTATACGTAGTGATACCGCCAATTAGAGAGCAGTGAATTATCGGTCGGACCAACGACGCATAAAACCCGTGCGAGCAGTCTAGAGTCCTTATCGGTCCTGCTTCCTGCCTAGCCCAGCCAGTTAAGTCCAGAAAACCAATCCCAGCCTCTGCAATATGAATCATTTATTTCAAACATACTGAGTTTACATACCAACCAGACAGACCACATCATACCATAAAGCAGAAAACAACATTTATACAAGAATTAGCCAAATATGGCTGTGAATAAGGGAGACAGTAATTGATAGACAAGGCATAACTCAAGAATGATAAAACGTATAGTAATAGTATTTATTTTATTTTATTTTAACACATAGATATTGGTACAAGAAGGCACCAAATAGATATGCGCCACACAAATCGATATGTGCGAGGGCTGTGATACTGCCCGGGTGCCCAAACCGAAGCAGGTGGTTTTCTTAGGGGGCCACTCCCCGAGCCTTTGACCTAGAGGTCTTACCCACAAGGCAGTGGAGCATCGTAAGGAGATGCAGTCCCATGGTAGCCGGTGACCAACGATTGGTTCATACGCCATTTGTTCCCGCAGGATACTGGAGCCCATGTGCACCATCAGTTTGGGATCCGGTTAAAGCGCCGGACATTCGCTTTTCGTCCTCTCATTTTTGTAAATAACACCCCCGCCACGAGAAGGCAGTGAGTAGGACTTCCCTGGCAGAGGCTATATACGCGTGGCCATGTGAGAGCATTTCGAGAGGGAGAGCGGACTATCCCCACTCTCGGCCGTACCAGGGCATTTGGGGTCAAAATAAAGCTCATAATAAGAGGAACATGAATATGTATAGTTTAGTTATTTATCAGTTATACGATAAAAATATATTCATAGTATTGGTAGTAGTATTTGAAGTAAATCCAAAGTTTCACCTGGCAATCTGGTCCAAGATGTTTTATTCATAATCACAACTTTTCATTTTG